CCCCAAGCCCAACAGACTAAAAGGCTGGTAATTGCTGTCTGTAGCACAGCAACGAGGGCAATAGTTGCTGGAAGCAGTCTGTACAGATAGCAGAATGTGTTGCTCCACTCCTTAGGAAGCTTATGCTCTGCTTGAAAACCTCTTGGCCTCTGTTTAGCCCTTGAGCACCTTGAGCAGGTGCTTGCTGGAGGATCTTTTTTGCCCATTATGCACATGTCAACCGAAGTAGGAGCAAGGATCTGTTCCAGAGAGTGGGATGGACATGGTGCTTAAAGGGAACACCGTAAATAGGTTGAGAGGTTTTGTAGCATGGAGAGTTAACACGAGTGGTTAGTTTGATCTGTGGTTATGAGCAGCTACTGCTCAGCCCTCCTGTGGGAAGAAGGGGAATTGTCTAAGATTGGTTAAGGCCAAACTTTGAGGGTTTTTTTTCTCCATGGCCTCTGCCACAGCCTAGGGTCCCTCTCATCTGCATGACAAGCTAAGCGGGACTATCCCATTAGGTTCTTCCTTCCTCATGTCGGGGTTGGCTCTGAAGAGCTCAGGCGTGTTATTTCAAAAACTGGCCCGTCTCTTTCCTCATCCTGTTTCTGCAGCTAGTCTTATCTCAAGTGGGGCACCACAAGGTGGTAATAATCTGCAGCCCAGCCTGCGGTCTGAGGAAACTCCCAGAAAGCCTGAGGTGAGACAGTTCCCATGTTCAGGCTGCCTGCCTCCTGAAAACAATACAGCCCTGCTGGAGGGAGTGAAGCTGTGATCGGGGTAGCAGGGGAAGCTCCCGGGCGGGAAACATGGAGCACATCGGCCCTCGGGTTGTTCCAGCCGGTACGCTGCTCCCTCCCAGCAGCCCAGGGCTGTGCTTGTCCGTGCATGCCCCGCTGAAACGTACCCTGCTATTTGCTGAATATTTGCCCTCGTGCTCTTCCCTTTGCCCTGCGCTGCCTCGGCTAATGAGGTTATTGTTTAGCCGGAGAGAGGCATCCGCTCGTGTTTGTGCCTGGCTGCAGCGCGGTTCCAAGCAGAGATCCTCCTGACGGTGCCAGATGGCGAGCCGCAAGCGCGGGGAAGAGGGGGAAAGGGAGCTGCAGCTCTGCCACCTCCCGGGAAAAAAAGCGTGGTGGGAGTGTGTCTGCCCCGGCGCTGCTGCTGCGTGGCTTTGGAGTCTGGAATGGGGAGACAGAGCACGGTCAAGGAGAGGGCCTCAGGATGGCTGGGGCAGGCAGAGTGTGTCAGGCTGTGAGCATCTAGTTTAGGTTTCCTTTAGGTCCTGTGGTAATAAACCTTACATAAACCTAGCTGGAAGCACAGAATTAATATTTATAAAATGACATTTAAGGTATTGAATGTATGCTACGCTCTCCAGAAGAATATCTCTGTGTGTGTGTGCGTGCACACGCTTGGGGCTTTGTTTTCCTTTTATAGTGGATTGTTGTGTGTATGTATTTTACTCGGGGTATTTTCTGCTATAATAAGAAGGGAGAAGGAGCAGGAAAATACTGCTCTGTTTATATACACTGCCGTCAACAGAGATGCTGCGTGTTTCAGATTCACATCCTCTGTGAAGCACTCTGGATTCCAGGCAAACAACACCCTTCCCCCCTTTATCATGAGATCCTTTGGGAGAATTGCCTGAGCCTCGTCTGCCTTACCCCTCTTGCTGGCAGGCTTGCCCTTTCCTGGAATTTGGCTTTGGTGAATGTGGCACACGCCGTACCCAGCATGCAAACAAGTCGATATGCTGAGGTTCAAAGGGACAACCTTGGAAAATGTCAGAGCAGCATCTCTGCACCATTGTTCTGCTCCTCTGATCACAAAAAGGAGCTCTGAGTGAGTCAGGCTGTAATTTTCAGTCGGGAGGGCAGGGGAGGGACACAGCAATGCCTCTCTGTATGTGTCTATGTCCCTCCTGAGCTTCTTTGACACTTTTCCCAATGCCTTTCACCTTTGTGGGTCTTCAGAGACGCTGATGCAGGGCTGAGCCTGAAATTTTACTGCTCACCCATAATTTTTATAAATCTCAGGTGTAGCACATGTCCTTTCCTTCCTCCCTGCGTTTTTATGTGTTTAGGTTTTGTGGCAGCAGCATTTTTATGTCTCTCCTCCCTTGTTTTCCTCTCTCTCACCTGGACCTGAAATAGTCAGTGAGTGTGCCCTTTCTTATCTCTTGAGATAGGCCTCAAGGGACAGTTCCTTCCCATCTATCTCCTGAATGCCATAACAACAGGGACACGCTGGAAAAGCGCTGGGTCTGAATCTGCCCTTTTGATATAAGTGGACATTATGCATTTTTAATAGACAGAGAGTTCAGTGAAACCCTTAGTACTAGCTGAATTGGCACAAAATTCCCAGGCAAGTAGTCTTTGGAGCTGATCTCTCCCTAGGTACCTTGCAGAAAATGAGACCAAGGACAAAAAAAAAGGCCATGTTCCCTTTGATTGCAAGATCTGCCTTGTTTTGCAGAGGAGGTAGCTGAGCAGAAGCTAGCCCGGCTGTGCGGTCCCTTTAGCTGTGCATGAAGGATTCTGGATTGGCAGTGCCTCTTCATCCTTGTTCACCCACAGAGTAGGTGCGGCTTGAGGGGAGAAGCTGTTATAAAGCACCTTCCTTCAAGCATCACCCTCCATGGACAGGCCTTCAGCACTGGCCTGGAGGCATCATGTCCCTGGTTTGTCCAGTGCAGGCCTTGCCAGTCTCAGCAAAGCTCACTTCCACCTGAGGCAGGGGCTTGGGGCCATGCACGGAGTCCTCCAACTTGCTTCAGTTCGGGAGGAAGGGGTATGGGAGCCGCTGACCCTGGCACTGTGATGGTGCAGTTAGGGTTGTCAGTGGGTCTTAATGCTTGCTAAGTTGTGGGTTATGTTTTGGCATCCACACCGCATAGCAGACGTCTCTGCTGCCAGGTACCTCTTGAGATGCACAAGTTAAAACCGGAGTCTGAATGTTACAGGTTCACAACAAAAAGCCTGGTGCAAACGGTGGGAATCACCGGTGAAGATCACTGAGATTGCCCCACAGTATGGACCTCAGCTCCCTGAGTACTGAGGCTTTTCATGGTAACTGGAAAGTTGTGGGTTTTCCTTCTTGTGCCTTTTTTGGTAAAGCGTAGGTAAGTCTATACCTACGGGTTACCATGGCAGTGTAACCTTACCAGATCTGGAAGAGAGGGAGTAACAAGGGAGTAGCTGTGGCTGTGGATCTGTGCACATCCACTGTGGAATGTGTCGCCAGGAAGAGAGGGTGGTATATGGAGGCAGCTGATCGGGCTGGGAGCAGGTGAGCAGGCAGCAGTGCCAGGACAGCTAAAAGGCAACTTGCCCCAACCTCCGGACTGACCTTTGGCTCACGTTAAACTGTCCAGCTGCGAGCATGGCGTTCAGGGACATACGTGCTGTGCTGGTCAGCCATCTCGGAGGAATCTGCTGCTGAGCGTGAGCAGCCCTGCCTGGGTTAACTGTTAGAGGGCAGCATCAGGAGAGGAGACCTTTGCTGTGCTCCCAGCCCCTTCAAGCCCTGTGTCCTCCTCCTCCAGGTGGTCCCTATGAAGGAAGGGAATATCCCTAGGGTCCTGCTGCATTGTTAGAGGTCACAGAAGTGTCCTGTCTGCCTACCGGGCTTGGTGCAATTGTCCCCAGATTGGGGGCAGCCCTAGTCACATCCAGAGCCTCCTGACCATGGAGGAAGCATGTTCCTGCTATCCTTTGCCCAGTGCCGGGGCGCTTAGACAGCTGCCGGGGTGCCCATGGGGGTACCTTGCTGTTTGGGTAGGGATGGCTGAGTGGGGCCATGGAAAGACATGGTGCTAGATACAGGGGAGTTGCATGAGATCTAACGAGTGTTACCCGCTGCTTGCAAAGCTGAAGTGAACTCATCTGGGGAGCCATCAGTGTGGGCACGAAGGCGTGCATGGCGAGAGTGGGGGGTGCCTCTGCCAAAGTGCGTGTGCAGAAAGTGAAGCAGAGGTCAGCCTGCCTTGCTGAGAGGCTGGAGGGGACCCGTGCTGCTCACCTAGCCTATGGTCACTGCTTTCTCTCGGGGAGGTGCCGAGCCTCCTCAGCAGCAAGACCCTTCCCTCACGCCCAGCCCTTCCTAGCCGCGCACTTTCCGTTTGCCTGCTGAGCCAGGAGAGAGTCTCCCCTAGCCTGTGGCTGCAAACTCAGTGGGTGATGCCGTGGATTGAGGAGAGCAGGAACCAATTCCTTAAGGGGCCATCTCAGAGCCTTCCCTGGCTTTTCCTCCCATCGCAGGGAGAAGTGCCCCTGCCTAAGTGGAATAAATTGGTACAGACCATTAGCAGCGCAGGTCCTCCTCTGGTGGGGGGGGAGGGAAGGGGCTGTCGGCACTGCTTTGGATACAAAGCAGCCAGCCACACTCTGGCTTCTTCCTCCCGCACCCCGTTGGCCTCCTCCTCCTCCTCCTCCTCCCTGTTTGCACGCTCCCTCCCTCTTTCACTCTCTTTCTTTCCCTTAACGCCACGCTGCAGAAAGGCAGACCTGGGGAACCGGAGGTCCACAGAGGCAGTGGAGGAGGAAGGAGCTCTCCAACGCTGTTTCTTTGCGAGTGAAACGGCGAGGCAGAGAGGCAATGAAGGAGTGTCTTGGTTGCTGCCTGGATTAAGAAAGAATACATTTAAAAAAAAAAAAAAATCCGGACCCAACAAACGAGGAAAAAGGGAGGAGAGAAGGAGGAGGAGGAGGAGGTTGCTGCGGGAAGCCCTCTCGGGTGGGTGAACAGCCGCTTTGAATCGTGCCTCTGTTCCCAGGGATTAAAGCATGAATGGGAGCAGCTTCCCAGCCACGATGGAGAGAGAAGGCGGTTCAGGCTGTGGGAATAAGGTAACTCTTGCCTCTTGCAGGCATTGCATGGCTGAGCTGAGCAGGACAGAGATCCTTTATGCACAGGGCTGGGTGTGTGTATGTCTGTATGTATGCAGCAGGCAGGGGAGTGGGAGGAAGCAGGAAAGACTCAAAGCGATTTTTTCTAGCCCTCCCTGTGTATTTAGAGAATGCAGAATGGGTCCCGGGGGCTGCAGTGCTGGAGATCTCTTTGCCTCCCCTTTTTCAGGCTGGGTGCCTGAGGACACCAAGCTGCGTTGCCCGGGGAAGGCTGGCTGGGTTATGGGGAAATATGCCTGTGTCTCGCCTCCAGGAGCACTGTGCTCCCAGCCTTGCCCTCCCAGACCTGCACCTGCTCTGGGGCTCCCCTCGTGGGCTTGCGTGCGGCTCTCGGGGAAGCTGCGGGGGGACTACAATGGCCCCGCGCCCTTCCAGCCCGCCGGTGCATCCGTGCAGAAAGACGGGAGGGAGGTGAGAGACAACTGAGAGAGTTGCTTTTCTCTTTCCTTGGTCATCCTCTGCCTTTTCTTCACAACAGAAAGGGATGGGATTTAGGAGGAGGGGCAACTGAAATCCCTTTCATTCGTGCCAGCGGTGGTGAGAGCCAACTTTGAGGCAGCTTAAAGGGAAAAAGCTTTCCAAGTGCTATCTTTTGGGGGAATAGGAGATGGCTGAGTGATGCTTTGCCATCTGAGGAGTGATCTCTGTATCCTGTTATGTTGTGGGAGTGGGTAGGGATGAAAAATAGTGATTACGGGGGAGAAAGTCCGTGGTGATCAATGAAGCTGTCCGCAAATGGTGCTTTCCTTTTCCCTGCTGGGCCTCTCTCTGACTCCATTTCTGAGTCTCTGATCCTGAAAGTCCTAATTTCTCTCAGTCAGACCAGAAAGCGCAACTTCAAATAGTATTGGGAGGTGGCGTAGCCCAGATGTTTGGGAGAGCACTGAGGAGAACCTGATGTTTACAGCTCTGGAGCCCATATCCAGTTAATCCCAGCAAGGAGAGGTCTTGGCTGGGTGTCCCTCACTACCTTTGGCAGAGTCTTGCTGCTGCAATATCCATCTGTTCTGTGCTGTCCATCACATACGCCGTCCTCCCCTTGCCTTCAGGGGCTCCTTGGTGGGTCTTGGCACGGGGTTAGGAAGCATTTCCTTCCTAATCATAATGATATGTCACAGAAGTCACCACTTAACGTGCACACAGTGCGGTAAGTCATGAGCCCCAGTGTGCCGTCACTTGACGTAAGAGCTTGTATACCCATCTGAGGAGCTTATGGCCCAGCGTTACGGACTGGAAGAGACTGTGCAGTCTGTTGCACAGGTCTGTACGTACTCATCTAGTCTAAATCGTTAGTGTCCCTGAACATGAGGTGTCACCAACTTGTGTAAATGAGCGAGGTGGGGTGTGTTTGTGCATGCACGTAAATATGGAAGAAGGGCTGTGTAAATCTACAGTGGAGCTTCAAGCCATTCTTTTGTTTTGTGAGTAATCCTTGCTTACATGAGGCAATTCTCCTAACTCACCCGAGATGCATCTTGCTTGCCTTGTTCGTGTAATTAGTCCTTCTCTGTATGCAGATCTCCAGTGCGAATGAATTGACCAAGATTTGGCTAGAAGATTACAATGGTTGGGATTTCTTGGCTTACCTGACAGAGTTGGGATCGAAAAGGTGTGGGAAAATGGAGGCACTCAGGAAAAGAGGGTAAAATATCTTCTTTCTGTATGTAGCACCCAACTCTGTTTTCTGTGTCAGCTTCAAAGCGTTGAGGAATATGGAAGATGTTCTGGTGAAGGAATTGAATAATGAGACAGTGAAAAAGAAGGATATTTCTTGCAGGAAGGTTAATTCTGTGACAGGGGCCAAGAGCTTTGGAAATGGCCAAAGCCAGCAGGACGGTGGATGCTACTAGAATGGGAAGGTAGCTGACCAATAATTTTGTTTTCCTGGTTGAGTATGTATGGGTGTATGAAAGACAGATGAAGAAAAATGACGTCGGTGACATTGGCTCTGAGTACTTTCCTGTTTCAGGCAGCTGAGTTATAAATCCCTCCCTGCATCCCCCCATAGGCATTCCTAGCGAAACGCTGTCAGCTTCTCCACTGTGAACTTGGAGCCATTAGCCACGCAGTAACAGCTTTCGTGAGAGCTGGCTCCTCCAAGCTGGGCTGACCCGAGGAAGGTGCAGAGGAGGGGACCCAAGTCTCATGTCATGTCAATTCTCTAGGACAGAAAAGTGAGAGGGCATCCATAAAGGTCTCGCTCCACATGCATGTGTCGGCAAGGAGGAGAGGGGGAGAGCTTTCCCACTTGTTAGTTGGCATTCCAAAGTTTCCTGACCCATCGAGGAGGCTCGTAGTGGAGAGTGAATGCAAAGGGGGAGATAGTGCCCCAACCCTGGGAAGGGACTGTCACCTTGTATGCGTCACAGGCCTGACGCGGTGCCACTGGGGTCAGCGATTCGGTTCTCCTGTGGCTTTGCCCTCGCCGGGACAGTGTCTCACAGAGCTCCAGCCAGCTACAGCGATGCCTGGATTTGTTCTCTTTCCTCCTTTGACGAGCAGCGTTGTTCTGCGTCTTCCTGCTTTTTGCTCCGCAGTTGTGCACCTTCTGAGGCCAGAAGAAGTGCCTCCAGCATGCAGGGCCGTGGCAGTTTTTAGCACGCTCACAAATGCTGCATCTTTCTGGCAAGCAATTGCTGTAGCTGGGAGATCTGGCCTAGGCTGACCAAGAAATCCTCCAGTAACAAAGTGTGAGCACACGCTCTCCCCCTTGTGCGAAGCGGCTGCTCAATGTCAAAATAATGCTTTCTGAAAGGAAAACAGTGCATCTGCCCTTTTAATCTTTTCCAGCACCCTCACGTTGCCACAGCAGAAGCCTTGGGAAATGAAAAGAACTGTCTTTTAAGGGACACTAGGGCAAATGTTGCAATTCATTTTCCAGTGTTTCTTGGGAGACTTGCCTTTTGCAATGCTTTTGCTCTCTCTTGCCCTTGTTCTACTAGCTCAAAGAAAAAGATGCGCAAACACAGTTTTTTCTTCTTCAAACAAAACCCAGTGGGCAGATTCGAATCCATCGGAAGACAGGATGTGGTACTTCCTTGTATCACCGTGCGTTTTGTCTTGTAGGGGTGAGCAGTGCCAGAGACTGCCTGCCTTCCAGGGCTGCTTTTCATATGGGCTTACCAGCAAGATCTCTGACTTCCGGGGATGCAGCCGGCCTTGGTCAGCGTCTTTCTCTGTGGGTGATGCCCTCTGTGGCTTTCTTGCCCTCCACTTTTTTCTGCAGCCCTCCCTTGCATGCAGCAGCCTTGAAAAGCTAGGTGGTCTGTAGCTGTAAGTCTTGTCTGGGGATACGGCTGGAGGTGCATTTGGTGTGGCTCCAGCCCACCTGGAGGCAAAGCATCTTCTGGAAGCAATGTAATCGGAAGGGCTGTCTGCCGTGTCTTTTTCATGGGTCCTTGCTCTCTGGGACATGTTGTCTTCTCTGCTTCGCTTGTGGAAAGCCTGAATCGGTTACCTACCAGTGTTTAGCTTCTCTGGTGGCAAGAGAAATCATCTTTGCCAAGCACAAGATCTGAAGAGTGAGGATAGATTCTCCCTTTTTTCTTCTGTGAGCCCCAACTGTTTGCGGTTGGGTTGGCAAGTTGACATCAGGGCTGGATTCACCTTCAGAAGCTAATAAGGGCTTTGCTGAGTGGAGATCACAGGGTGTGGCCCATAATTAATCTTCATATCTTGATCTAGACACGTGGACCACCCCCAAGTGCTCTAAGTAATACTGTGTATTACTCACTGTTGAATATATCCTCCTACATTTTTTAATGGGAACTCCACGCCTCCAGGGAACTGAGGCACTGAGAGACTGAGGAAAGAACCGAGAGCAATTCAGTGTGCTAAGGAGCAGATCCCAGTCTCTTGCAGTGCTAATGGCTTTGTCCCACAAATTGAGCCAGTTTAGTCCTTCTCCCGTTCTTGACCCTCTCCCTCTGTGGACGTGTTGGTCGTACCAAGTGGCACTTTCCAAGGCACGTTTTTCACAGGCTCGCGAAACGCCCCCTGCGCAGCGAGCTGCCACGTGGGTACCTGTACTGTGCCTGGAGCACACTTGCACCGGCAGCTTTGCACACCTACATTTCCCATCCTGGCCTGTGTATAGAAGTGTGTGTTCTCCCCCTCGTACAGCCGTGCGCAGGTGCACACATCCTCTGTGTTTCCGTCTGAGAAATGCCCTGTCCTGCCTAAGTACCACAGAGCCTTTAAGCAGTTTGCAGAGATACCTCAGAAATACCTCAGAACCGTGGGGAACACAATGTGATGTGCCTGGCAGTGACAGCAGAATAAATAGGAAATGCTCAGGATCCCCCAACTGCCTGGATGTGAGCTATTTTCCTAAAGACGGGACAAAAGCTAAGCTTCTGTGTAAGGCTTCCTGCGCTTCTTGTGCTGGTCTTTAAGAGCGGGTGATGTATTAGCGCTCAAAGGGTGTGTTAATGCGTTGGTCACTGCTGGCCTTGCTCCAGCCTGTATGCTGCCCTGGAATGCTGTTTATTGTTAGCTCCTGAGACGTGATTTGGTACTCCAGAGACCTTGGTGCTGTGAACATCTAGTCTCTGCACTGGAGCGTAGTGTGTAAGTAAACAGGATGGACAGAGAAAATACTGCATGCTTGATTGTGATGGAAGGGTAGCCAGATGCTGACAAGGGAAAGGTGCTTGGCCTTGGATCACGTAGGGAGTTCCCCGGCAAAGACGTGGGAACCCAGAGAAGAAATTCTGCCTGTTAGAACGGGACAATCTTCAGAAAGGCATTAAACCCCCCATCTCTGAAACCTCTGGGGAGCGGGTTTACATCTTCACATCATGATTGAGATTTCTCTCTGCTCAGCTCGGGGCTGTTGCAAAGACATGTGCGCGCTGCAGAGACCACAGAAGAGAGACGTCTGCTGATCCCCGAGTTCCTTCCACAGTGTCTGCTGGAGACTGGTTATCCTCTCTGAAATA